CTGGTATGGCTTCCTAACGTTTAATCTCTAATTGTTATTATGTTCATTACTTAATATAAACTATTTGTGTACAGACATTTAAGGCGGTAGAATTTAAATTAAGAAAATCATTGGTAGATAGTACCTATCTGCATTATTATGCATTGATATTAATTCTACTCCTGTTAAATTTTTTAATGGCGTACACATAAATATAGTGTTTATATTTAAATCTGAAATTAACAAATTATTATTTGGCGAAATTTTCGATTAGTTTGCCATTATTTTAATAAGTACAAAATCTTTATGTTGTCTCTCTAAGTCTCTAAAGTAACAGAATTAATATGTTACTTTCAAATCCAAAATAGTGATTTAATTTAATTCATGTACAATATAAAACATGAAACAAATTAAATAATATATTTGATGAGTAAGACATTAATTTTTTTTATAGATGCTTCCTTATTCTATAAAACATAACCGATAGTATATGATTTGTTCCTGCTAGATAACTCATCAATGAGAATATTGATTTTTATATTGTAAAAAATGATTATAGAAAAACTATATTTAAATACCTACTAACTTTATATGTTATCTACTGAAAAAATGATGCAGACACATAAACTTCATACAGTTCTATAGAATCATCTAAGATATCAAAATTTGAGGATGTGACTTAATTGTTGAGTATATTCTTTATAAAGTTCCTAAATATATCTCTGAATCATCTAACAAACTGAAATACTCTGTGAGATCTGTTTTTGGCTTAGGTTTTTACGTTTAAAATATTAGATTTTTTTGTGATGATAAAGATGGATGCTATAAAGTGTAAATATATTGGCACAATAATACACTTTAAACAAACGTTATTCTATGCTTTGGACAATTTTATTAATAAAAGACTAAAAATGAGGAACATAATATCGACAATAAATTGTTAATTTGTTTAAATCTGTTTTGCAAATGCATATTTTTAAGTTTATGCCCTAGATAAATATGAAACTTATTGTTTATTATTATTTGTTTTGTTAATAAAATTTAATGCCATATTTTTAATGCAGTATTCATTTATTAAAATTTTTAAAGCTTTTTACATGATTTGTTATTTTATTTACATTATTTATTTTATAATTATTATTTAACCTAAAATTATTATTTTACATAAACTTGTTATAACTGTTTACCTATCTTTTAAATACGTCATTTAGGATCTTTGATTAGGGCAACTCTGACAATGAAAATATTTAATTATCTAAAAATTACTCTTAATCAAGTTTTAATAGCTTTTAATTAACATCTTTATCTTAAAACAAATTAGTTTTTAGGCTTTTGGTGAGTCCCGACTAGCGGAAATTAATTATAAGCGGAACTGAAGCGGAACGTGTTCATTGATGTCATTGGTCAAGTGTCGACCATGTTGCAATTCCGCATTTTTAATTATTGTTCTGCAAATAGTTCACTCTAGTTAAAATTTTTGGCAGAACCGATGACAGCGGAACTTGCATATTTCACAATTTGTATGTCAGTTGAGGTGACAACTTAAAACAGAAATGGAAAATAAAAATATCTGAAATAAGCAATAAGCATAGCTAATAAGTTTTCAAATGCTTTAGGTGTCATTCAAAGGTAATTAAAAAATGTCTCAGTATCTTTACTTTTTAATTCTTGCAATAAGATATTACTGGCACCTTGTGGAAGTCTACTCTTATCCAGAAGTTGCATTTACATTTTTCACTGTTTTTGAATTGCATATATTGTCTATACAATCTGTATACGTTTAATAAATTTCTAGGAGATTTTTAATGGCATGCGTTTAATTTATGCTGTTTAAATCTAGCAAGAAGAGCACCAATATAATAAAAAGGGTTTCGAATCCATTTTAAATATTTTCTTTGAATTGACCACAGGATCCATTACATAGATAAAAATTACTGCTTATTTTTTATTGTTTTGACATTTTTGTTTGACAGATATGCTTATTATTAGAGGAACGGCGTGAATTAACGGCGGAACACAACTGCGGAATTCCGCTCAGTATTTTCCGTTAGTCGGGACTCACCATTACTGTCCATATGCAAAGATGTCACTTTTTCTTAGATTTTTTTTTATTATCAACATGTTTATATAATTTTATGAACTTCATCATGCATAATGCTTATATTTTTTTTATTGTTCATCAGTTGATTACATTAAGATATATTTTTTACTCAACCTTTTCTGATATTTTATTTAAAAAAATGTTATAGAATAGTTCATTTTAAAACAAACTTTTCTATTGTAATAAATCGACTGTGGATATTTACTCCTAATATGTACTTAGAGATTTCCCAGAGTTAATGTCGGCGGTTACAAACATATCAAGTATTCATTATTTACCGAATATTAGTGTCAAGTTTGTATATATTTCCATTGCAAAAAATCCGATATTTTCAGTAGATCAGTGCTATGAAATACTGAATTTTGCAATGAGCAAAATACCATAAATATTATTAAGCTGGCGATTGGATGGAAACAAAGTAAATATTCAACTGTCAATTGGTTTAAAAGTACCTACTATTTTTTTATGTATATAAGTTTCTTTTGTATTTTTATCTTGTCTCTTTCTCTCGTATATCATTCAGTTTAAACTATGTACTCAAAAATTTACAATACTAATTATAAGCCTAAATAAATATTTACAATAATTGAGCAAATAAATATATTTTTTTCCAAACTACGTTACTCCAAATTGTTTTGACTTAGTTTTAATCACACCCGTTTATTTTTGTATCACTCAAGTTTATAATTTTTTATGTCTATAAAATTTGGTACTTTGCTACATATTCGTTATAGAAGGATTGTAGGTAACTTTTGATGTGTCATCTTCCAATGAATCCATTTCTGATAATTCATTACTTTCTGTGCCGTCCCTAAAAATAATAATAATTAGATATAAAAAAATACAATTTTTTTTGAACATAGGTCAAAATTTACATAAATTTTATATATAAGTGTAATCTTAAAAATATGAGTTATTGTATGTAAAGATGAATACATAAATGTTTTTAAAATTTTTCTCTGGCACTACAAAATTGCTGACAATATATGACCTTTGTAAAATTACTGCTTTCACAATAAAACTATGTATTTCATACAAATATCAGTAACAACCTTTTATTTTTGACAATTCTATCTTAATTTTTTAATACAATAATAATCAAAACAATATAAAATACAATATAATAACGTGTGCCATGTGTCTTCAACATTCTCTTCAACATTCTTTACCCCATGAAGAGTTGGACTTTTCACCAACTTTCATACTGAGTTCATCTGCTATCCTTGTCTGGTCCATACCTTGTATCCATTTACGTAATCATCTCTCTGCACCTACGAAGTTTGTGCCATTATCGGTTAATATTTCTTTAGGTTGTCCTCTTCTACACATAAATCTCCTTATTGCCATAATAGTACTACTGATATATAGACTTGCTGCTAACTCGATGTGTATTGTTCTTATCATTAAACAAGTGAAGAGAACACCATATTGATTTTCAGTTCTTCCTACAGTTACGTTCGTTGGGCCAAAAAATCAGTTACAACTAGTAAATGGAAAAATAAAAGGTATAATTCTTTCCCATTTCAAGTGCAATCGGCTTACATTTTCTAATTTTACAAGCTTGACATCTGTAAAAACTCTTTTACTGCAAATTTAGTTCTCTAATTATTACAGTTTCTTTTCCCTCATGTCCTGCTTCCCTGTGAAAATGATGAATTAGCAATTCAACAAATTTACGTCATGTGTCTAAGGTGATAGGTCTCATTAACTTCAATTTTAATGATTGTCGAATTTTTGGTGGCTCCAACCGTAATATTAGACAAAAGGATTGACTCTTATGACATCTTTCCGTCATAATATTATTTTCAGATTATTGTCGCTTACGCCTTTTTGACGTGACGCCGTCGATGTTGTTACGCTAATGTACTATAGACTGGTTCCTGGGTGTGCTAAGAGATGGCGTTACTACTATTAAAATTTGGATTAAATAGCCATAGAACTCTAGATTTAAAAAGATGGAACTAAAATTGTACGAAAAGGACAGGGAATATTCAAGAAAGATCTAGACCATATAGATAAGGATGTATAAGGCATACGGTGAATCGAACAGCTCAGTTTAATTTGGAATTGTGCGAATAAAGAAGAAATAAGTTAGACTGAAGTGGTGGTGTTTAATTGTAATTATAGTTAACTCATTCGTTAAGTTATTATTGTTAATTATTAATCAGTTAATAAAGTAGTAGTAGTGTTACCAGGAATTTCAGTCAACGAATCTACAGTTTAATGTGTTTGTGTGGATAGCAAACACGTAACAATATATGTTAAAAAAGAGGCAGGAGGAGAATTATCACTCGCTGTTTTAGTATATCAGCTTTTTTATCACTAAATTTTATGCTTTTGTACTAGTTAAATAACTGTGTAGAAACAATGGTTAGTTAATCTATTTATTTTACTTACCGATAGTGATTATGTCTAGGTAAAAACAAAGATTTTGGACAGTCTTTCATATACGGCCAACATTCTGCTGGTCCTCCAAGTTTACCTCTCCCTGCATTCTCAGCTTCCACATATTCATTTAACATGTCTGCGTATGGTGATTTGCTAGCGCTGGAAAAATGACTACAATAAATAATAAAACATTAAAAGGTTTGTTGGTCTATACAATTAATAAAAATCAATAAGCTCTTTGTGGTATCAGATAGTGGCACATCCTTCCCCCCTGACAGTCAGGAATCAAATCGTGGCTGGACCAAGTCCATTAGGTACAGTAGATGAGCGTCGATTACCATTTTTCAAAAGGGATTACAAACTGTGGATTCGTGTATCTGCGATGTGAGCACGTATAAAAATCCATGTACTACGATAAAATAGGGATTCGGTCAAATTTCCAGGTTATGGAAATTGTTTACAGAAGCACTGCGAGCTTTTCTCTTAGAGTCGGTGATTGGCCTTGGTAATGAAAATAGGCCGATGTTAAATGGCTTAATTCATGGTCGAGCAGTAAAGACACTTGCCTCTCACTCCGGAGTCCCGGGTTCGATCCCCGGTCAAGCACTTGAGATTTTTTTCTAAAGCAGAAAGTATTTCTAGCATACTTGGATATGGGACTTGTGTCTATTATCTCGAAATGTCTAGCCACCTCCCGCATAAGGTACATCAAGATAGCTTTAGGGATACAGGGGGTTGTATTACCTGTGGCGTTAAAAAAATACTATTTATTCGATTTTTTCAACACTAACTTAATAATTTTTTTCCTTTTTCTTAATGTTACAATGCAAGTGTTTTCAAATTGTAGGCCAAAAAATTGTATTAGCCTATAGTGTAATATTTGTATTTCTTGACCTTGCTTAGTTGTAATTGACAATTTAAAAATAACCCAAAACAATTATTGCTATTAAAATAATCGAACTATATTAGTCTAACAAAATATATATTTTTTAATTACTTTCCGCTACCAAGGTCGATCTCTGACGCCAGGAAATGAGCTCGCATCAACCTTCCAGGTTGCAGAACTCCTGCAATTTAACGTGGGGGATCAAAGTCGAAAATTTTAGTAACTCACACGATGCGCCAAGGTTTTATTACCGGCCCTTACTACTTATTATTATTTGCAGTGATAAGTCGGCGCAGATCAAAATCAGAATAAAACCACTAGCTCGATACCGAAAGCCGCTGGATGAAAGTTGATAATAAAAGGAGTGAGAAGTGCCTACGTCACCTGCAACCATTTTTGAGTAGTATATCTTGTTAATTGTTTCCATGGCGTATTTGCCAACTTTTGAGTAAGAGCCGTGACAAAAATTTTTTTTTTTGGTTCTTTGCATCTCAAATATGTTATGAGTGAAGCGTCATTTTATACTAAATTATCTCAATTACCTCAAAAAAAAAACGAAGTGCAATACCGTGTAAAATACGAAGTCGGAGTCCCTTCTGCTGAAACTGAACATGCTCCACACTGCTAAATGTATGTTAAATAACAGCATTTTCTACACAGAATTAAAAGTGGTTATGCGTATCAATGGTCCTTGCATCTTTTTTTATGAGAATGAATACAAAAGGACATGTTTCTGTCACATTTTTTGGCTTTTTAATATCTGATAGTGTTTAAATATTAGTGTGATTTTATTATCCGACGCATAAGTTGAATTTAGCCGAGATTAAAAGCGAAAATTATTTCACCTGGCAGAAAAGTAACGAATTGATATCCTAATTATGGTTGGATTTGGAGACCGAAAAAGAACGCAGCAAGAAAGTCTGCATGTTATTTAGTGAAGTTCATTCCAACCTTGCTCCGATTGCTGAATGTTGTTCCTGAAATATAAACTCTTTATTCTAACTACAATGATAACATTTTGTTTCAACAAAATAGGAGCTGTGTGGATTAGAGGACAGAATTTATTTATATACTGTTTTTCCAAACATTTGATTCGAACGAAGAGGAGAAGTAAAGTGGCCGGCTCGGTCACCTGATTTGACCTCCTGTGACTTTTTTTATAGAGTCGTATACCTTGTATAAGGTAATTCGGTAACTGTAAGCAATACAAAAAAATGGAAGACACATTCTGGATCTCTTTTTTTGAGACAAATTCACTGGCGAAAGCAAAAAACTAACTATCGTTTTCGAGTTATAAATAAAAGTTCGATTTTTCGACTTTTAGACATGTCAATATCTTGGTTGTTTGTAAAGTTATGAAAAAAATAACTTTTACATTCTTCAGGCACTTTTTTCTGTATAATACAGTGGCGTCGAGAAAATTTTAAAAAAATATGAAATTTCGAGTTATGGCATAAAGTTGTATTTTTTTAAATGGGAATCATAGTTAGCATGGTTTAGTCAAAAAGGATTTTTTTCTCTTTCAAACTATATATCATATGCGGGGTCGCTTTTGATGTGTAAGTATTTAATAGCGAAAATAATCTTTTAGCAGATTACTTTTTGCGATTTTTTATATTTATTCCAAGTAGGCGTGTGTCATCTATGACAGTGTTTATCCATTTGTCAGTAAACTGCATACTAATAATTTTGTTTCCGTCATAATTACACCCCATTTAATCATAAACGTGAAGATGTCTTACGAAAATTACGAGAATTATGATATGCTCTAGAATACTTTATTCAAAGAAATAACAATTGTGATATTGTATCCAAAATATATTTCAATCGTTATCCAGAAAGAAGAGAACCTAATAAACTATTTTTAAGAAGTTAAAAGAAAATCTCATTAATTGTGGGTCCAACAAGAAGCCAAGACCAAAAAATTACGACAATGAAGATGCTGAAGAAACTTCTATAACTGTAGTGGTAATGGCGGTTGCAAATCCTTCAATTTCAAGTCGTCAAATTGAAGCCGATTCTAAGATCTCAAGGCGTCGAGCTTTGGGTATTTGAAGACACACAAATTCACGCCTTATACAATAAGAAAACATCACCTGCAACCAACTGATCTTCAGCGACGATTGGAGTTTTTGCGTATGATATTGTCAAAAAAGTCAACAAGATCCATTCTTCTCTAGACATGTAGTTTGGACAGATGAAGCCTACATTAGCAGTGCAGGAATTTTCAACAGCCATAACAAGCACTATTGGTCTGATATGAACCCTCACCGTGACGTGCGATCTCAGGGACGCTTTGGTTTTAGTGTTTGGTGTGCTCCAGTGGCGGTTCGTGAGTCAAGAGATAGGGAGATCAATTAGAAAAGTTTACTGTATTACCTACCTTTTAAAGTGATTTAAATTCCAAGTCGATCCTCCGGTCTTTTTGAGATGCAAAGTGGTCAATTACTTTTTCATTAAAGTCTTTTATCTTCTTTATTAATGCCCTTTCTATGGTAAGCATAGCTAAAGAAGATAACCTTTCCTGACCCATGGTATTTCTTAAAAACGTCTTTATTCTTTTTAAGGGGGAAAAACAACGTACACTTTCGACGGTAGTCATAGGGAGAGTACACAAGATTTTTAACAGTTTGACACTTTCAGAAAAATTATAGCACAAATTATTGTTAATAAAAAGCTGTAACATAGCTACTGCACCTTCACTATTGGAAAAATCTTCTCAGCTATATAATACTTCTAATTCAGTTTTAAGTTTCAAATGATTTATGACTGGATACTCCGTTTTAACTAATTTAAACATATCTTGAGGAAAGCTTTTTTATAATCTTTAAATCGATCTGCGTGAAATAACTGAGACACTGCTAAATGATTACTGAAGCCAAACCTGTTTTTGATCTCAGATGTAATTATATCACAAACTTCTAATGAAATTCTCCTTTTTGATTCTTCCATTTTATATCTCTGGGCAGACTGCATGGATGTCTCCTCCAAATAGTTATTAAAAATTTTATTTCTGATGTCTTCAATTTTACTATTAAAAACGCCAATACACTTATTTACTGTTATGACATCGATATTACATTTTTGTAATGGATTGAACAATATATCATAATGAGGCATAACTGAATGAAAAAAATTTAACCAGTAAAGAAAATGTTCATTTTGTAAGTAGTATTTTAAACCAATAGCTTGGTTTAGAGTGTTGTTTTCTGATTCATTATCAATGATTTTTTTCTAAACAATCTAATAATTCTGTTCGATAGGTATAAACAGTCTCTATGTACTTTGTATTAAAATTCCATCGTGTTGGAGCCGCTTTAGGTAATCTCACCTTAACAACATTATCTAACAAGGCTGTTCTTTTTTTGGCGATTTTCCAAAGAAATGAAGAAAAGCTATGTAAATTAGCAAAAAAAATGTATGCTTTTATCCTGACTTGATGCTTTTTGTAAAATTAAATTTAGTTGATAAGCGTAACAATGAATAAAATTTGCTGAAGGATAACTTCTTTTTTAAGTTTGGGTTGTACACCTCCAAAAGCACCACTCATTACTGATGCTCCATCGTAACTTTGTGCTATCAATTTTTCAGGACTTTCATTAATTTTCAGACATTCTAACTCTTTTAAAATTACATCTGTCAAATGATGCGATGTCGTTCCTTGAGGCTGATTAAATTTCCAAAATCTCTCACATACAACACCGTCTAAAACGTATCTAAACACAAAAACTACTTGTACTTTATTGGAACTATCTATTATTTTATTTAAAATATATCTATTTTTAGAAACGTTTTCGTTGTAAGCTTTTAAACTTTTTCTATAGGCACTGTCTAACTGCATTCTAATAGCAACTGTACCAAGTGTTGCTAGACTACAACAGTTATTCATATGACTTGATGCGAGCGAATGTTTCTGTACTTTTATTTTTAAATGTTTCAAGTCAGTTACATCTATTTTGGACCATATAGGATCAGGATCATCACCAAATAACAGGCATGGGAAACAAAAAAATGCATTTTTTACCTCGCATCCACAAATCCACTCGGATAAATCGTACATTGAATTTCGAAAATACCTATTAACTTCTTTTTTCTCATCAAGAGATGTTTGCTTTATCGTCATATTAGGTTTTGGACGGCCACCACCTTTGAGTTTCACTCGGTCTTCATAACCCAACTTATGTCCATCTTTCAGTTTTAATATATTTTGTACAACACTCATATTTAATAGTAAACACCAAAAAACACTGTTTTACTTAGTTTCACGACAAGTAGAGGTTTACTAATAAAATGTTCACAAATAAAAACATTAAAAACAACGCGACAGAATTTACCGACCAACGCATACCTAGTCAGCATTAAGACTGCTCTACTAGCGAACTTCGTGCGTTACCGTTTCCGTAAAATGTGTCAGGGACATTGTCCCCGCCAGTGTGTTCTGTCTCTTTTGCTTTCTGACGATTTGCGCATAAGTCTATTTCACTTTAATTCGTTGTAAATTCGGTCCGTAGCTAACTTTGAGGACAAGTTGTGGATTGACCCAAGATTTTTAAATTCTATAAATGAATAATGTAATGAATATGAATGTAGAGGCTCAATATTTGAATAGTATTGTGCATAGAATGAAGTAGAAACTTAATATATTTTTTAAGAATATTAAAAATATATATATTATATATTTTTAAACTTCAGAAAATGAATAGCTCTATTTTTTATTTGT